ATAATAAGGGGAAAGTGGGCTGCACACCACTTTCCACCCTTATTATATTATTTATTTTATTTCATTTACTAATTAAATATCAAATAAATAATATAAATGATAAATAATAATAGTAATAAAATAACAACAAGAGAAAGGCTAGGGAGTGGCTTTAGCCGCTACCCTACCTTTACTCCATATATATTATTATTATATTATTATATATTATTATTTTGATTTTTATTTTATCTAATTCCAAATTGTATTAAAAGAAAATATCAACTTTATTTAATTATAAATACATCTTAATTAAGTATAATAAATCTAATTTATTTTACTTAATTAATTCTATCAAATAGAACTCTCCTTCAACTCCATGAATTAAATATGTTTAATCTAATTAATATTTAATCCATTTTCAGTATTACGAATTAAATATTATTTAATCCAATTAATAATATTTAATTCCTTCTAACAATTCAATCGGAAGGTATAATCACTTGTTGTGTGACCCATAGGGCCTTATATATTAAGCACTAATCAAATTAAGGTCTTAGCGAATCCCTAGACGATTCTCCAGACAAACTTAATATATAAGGACGTTTGAGAGGACTATATAAACTCCCTGTAATATAGAGCTCATAGTGATACGGTCCTTTCATTCAGCGAACATTCAACTAAGTCTAGAACATGATATTGTGTGTGTTCCAATAACTTAGTCTCTGTCTCTCAATCTTTCTAGATGATCCATAACGATCATATTCGATATCCAAAACGAATATATCTTTGTATTGGCCAATGACTTTATGATCCATCTAGATATGAGAAGTAGAATGTTCTCTCTTAATCTATTACGGGGAATGAATCCTTTCTTGGCTCAACTACTACTCCATGTGCTTCGTGATGCACCCAACATATGCCGTATCTACCCCGATTGGAGTGCAAGCGTTGGTCATGGTCAAAGTACACCACTCCGCACATGTATTACGTATTGACCTCAAGTCGAAGGACTATTACATTACTCTATACGCCGATAATCTCATAGACACATGAATAGAACTTATCAAATGGTTTCTCGGTGGGTATGCCAATATTCTCTAAAATATCTATGTGACCATCATGAATTACAAGAACTCATAGTTGTGAGATCAACTATACTTTCTAAAAGTATTATGCAATCCACATACCAATCTTATCGCATATCATCAATATCCCATTCTTGATGATCATTGATTGGGGCTATTTTAGGACCTTATGTTATATCATATAAGCTCTCACTTACTTATTGACAACATAAGTTCAAGGGAACACAATTATGAATAAGATATTGACAATCGAAATACTTAATCATCAATGTGTAATACCGTATATATCAAATATATAAAACTGAATGTGGTCAAGTACATATATCTCTAAAAAGTGATTGTCGCTAGGACATATATACTAACACCTTCCTATCATAGATGGAAGGCCAAGGTACCTGCTAGTTTGGGTACCCTCCTGAACGCCAAGTATGGTCATAATTTGCTCCTTTTTTGACACAGATGTATTACGGCTGAACATGATTTCTGATTTTTGAAAATTAATAGGTTGTCCGGAGCCGATGTCATATCTTTACAGAATGTTGTGAACTCGAAGTGCTTCTCCCTCATCCGCACGTAAAAAGTAGCTATCATCTGCATAGAGTTAGTGACTTACTGTGGGAGCACCCTTACAAATCTTGATACCATATATAGCTCCTTTTTGTTTAGTGTCACGCAAGAGTGACGTGAACCCTTCAACACATAGTATAAAAAGATACGGAGATAAAGGATCTCTTTGCCTCAAACCCCTGCTCGGAATTATTGGCCTGACCTGGTCATCATTAATAAGGGTCGTGTATTACACTGTTGTAACACACATCTTCATCCATCTAACCCACTTCTCATTGAAACCCATTTTCCTTATAACGGAGAAAAGATATTCCCAACTCACACGATCATATGTCTTACTAATATCGATCTTGAGGGATGCATCGCCTGCTCAGTAGAAATACACCTCGGTAAAATAGCCTGAAGCCGATTGGCTAAGACCTTGGAGATAACTTGTAAGCCACATTATATAGAGAGATAGGTATTAGGTCACTCATGGAAGCAGGAGAGTCACATTTAGGAATTAACACAATATGTGTATCCCCTATAACTTCAGGGAGCCGCCCTTGATCCAACTTAAGAAGAAAAGAAGACTCGAAAAGTTAACTTTGTCTAAAAAAGTAGCTCTTGGTAAATCCATTACCGGTTTATTTTCCGGTTAATTAGTAACTTGTATTTTAACACAAATTAGTGTTGTTGGAACCTGGGAAGAAAGACCCCAATTTTTTTTTACACAGGCCCTCCATTTTTCAGGACAGACTCCACTTGGAGTTGAACCCAAGACCTTTCCCTTGTGACAATCTCTTCCTCCTAGGTGAGCTACACCCCGATCTATATATCATATTCATGTTGAGTACAAGGTTAACCTCATTGCGTATTGTGTAGTCGTGGTGTTTTATAAATATTGCATATTGCGTAAGCCTCCTTGCGCAATGAGATGCATATCTGAGGCGTAATGTGTGTGTATATATGTATGCATATACTCATAAAACATAAAACTTATTCATCAAAAGTCATCAAATGTCATATTAAAGCAAATCATAAAAGATCATAATCCTAGCAAAGTAATATGTTAAAAAGTACCACAGAATACCAACAATTTCTAAGGATGTTTTCTTTTGGACTGAAACTTGTTGGTCTGGTATGGTCTGATCTGATCTCAGTGTTTTTTATAATTGTACAAGTCTGGTTTGCTCTGTTTAAATCTGATTTGGGACTTAAAACATTTCAAAAGAAAACACCCTAAATAGTTCACCAAAACAAAATTCGTAACAAATCAAAATTTAAATTTATTAGATTGATGACTAAAGAATCGAATCATCAATGCATAGTGGTTTGAAATAAGGATCATATATCAGTTATAAGAATTAAGTGTGGGTTGAGTGGGCCCAAAATAATTCCCCTACACCACGACCTCCTATTGCGTACGCCTCTTAGCGCCTTATTGCATATGCAATATTGCGTACACCACATTTTCAATGCCATAGACGATGCCTTTTATGCCATAGTCCAAGAACTAGTTGAGGTGCAATTGCATTGGCAATTACAAACATTGGTTTAGTGGCACAATGACAATTGAGTGCCTGCATATGTTTTAACTGCCAATTTGTGCGAAATGTTGTTTCACTTATTCCATTCTTGACATCCAAGTATGGCTATGGTGTGTGAAGGTTTTGGTAGTATCATGGGCCATCATGATGGACTCACACCCAATCCTACTCTGAATGATACTCGCCTCTTGTGCTTGTTTGCCCACCTTGAATAACCTTCATTTTGCTTCTCTATCTTCTTCTTCATAATAATGTGTGGCTCCTTCACTTGATTTGCTCTAACCTCTCCATTCAAATTTCAAGCTATCCCTGACATCAACATGTACAACAATAAGTCTATAGGAGATGGAGGATTAAAAAGCATAAACAACCTAAAAAGAGAGATATGTGAGTAGTAGAATGAACTTTGGTAGGCATGACAATTAACTATGTTTTACAGAAGTAATTATAGTAAGCTGTACCGGAAAAAGAGAGGAAACCACGTAAAAATCCAAGATATGTCAGAAATGTGAAATATGATAGAAAAAACATAGAAAATGAAGGCACAAATCAAAAGGGATGAACTCATTGAAGCCAAAAGTGAGGACGAGTATAATAGTATCTACTCTTGGTGCCTCATACGCACTTCCGGACGAGGCTGTGCGAACCTGATATGTCTTGGCTCAGCCACAACTTCTTTTATACTAAGTCATTTCTGGGAAATCTAGATACGTATGTTCGGGGATTATGCCACAACTGCCTTCGCTGACATCACTAGACCATATCCCAAGATTGACATCATGCCTACAACGTCCTGACGCACTCCTGATGTCTTCGACGTATTCATAAATCCATGTTTTAAAGTTTTCATTAGAATTGAATTAAAACTTACACATGAATTAAAGCTTGTTTGAGTCTTACGCACGTTGATACGTGTGCGTGTGTGTATAGAGAGATGAACTTGCACACATGCTTCTTATAGCTATTTCATTATTGTGAGTGTTCTGAAGGAAGATGGACACTAAAATTTGCGCAGTAGAATCGATGATTAGTTCTTGAGTAATTGTCCATTTCATTTTATTGAAAAACTATGTTTGAAACTTTTATAAGTGAAACTGTAATGGTGAACAATTGTGAAGTACGGAGTATTATATATTTAGTTACTTTGATCCGCCAGTATGAGTAGGGGCATGCCTTAGGGAAAGGTCTCAAAGGTGTTACTCCCTCTGTCCCGTTTTACTTGTTTTACTTTCCGTTTTGGATTGTTTCAAAATAAGTGTCACATTTCCCTTTTTTGGAAAGAAACACGTGGTCTATAATATTTCACTTTGTTATACTCAAATCTCAATCACAACTTTTACCTTTTCAATCACTTTATTAATAATTATGCCAAATCAAAGTAGGACACATAAAATGGGATGAAGACAGTACATTTTTAAGTACTTTGATCTGCCATTGTGAGTAACAATTGTAAAATACGGAGTATTACATTTTTGAGCCGTGCTTGGTGTACACTTTTTGGAGTACACATTTCGCACACTTGTCTGTAGAGACAACTATGTGTGCGTAAAACAGACAAGTGTACAAAAGGTGTACACTAAAACGTGTACACCCATCATTTTTATACATTTTTTAAATTAGGGAAATTACTTTAACAGGGCTAAAAACGTTTGTATATTCCAAAATAGGACTATCATATTTTTATTGTCAAAATATGACTAATTAATCTCATGTTTTGATAGTATCAGACTTTAAACATGACAATATTTTCCAAACTCAACCATAATTAGTTATATTTTAGAATTTTCAAACTTTTTTGCTCCACAATTTTCCTTTTAATTACTTTATCCCCTGTCCAGTCTGAGAAGGGGCATGCCTTAAGGAAAGGACTCAGTCACCACCGCATCTGTTAGTGCAGCGCTTTCCGCCCGTCGCTTCCATCGCTCCACTCCCTGTCTCCAAATTCAATCGCTTCAAGTCTTCAACCCCCATTCATCTATGTCCACTTCTTCCGAACCACTGCCTCGTCGCCCTTCTCCCTAGGTCTTGAGGTTTGGCTAGTTTTTGCATCATAGATATAGGGAGGGTAGTAGGGTAGGGTAGAAGGGCTTATGAATATTTTTGTGAAGATTGCAACTCATGGATTATCATTTGCAATCTAAAAAGCATTTAGATTAATAACTCTGTAAATTTACGTGTGAATAACTTGCGGAATATTAAATCATCTTCCTGCAATTATTAGTGAATAGTGACGGTCAGCCTATAGGATTAAGAAACTTAATCTATAATAAAACCTTCTCACCCGAAGAGCTTTTCCGGGCCCGAAGCCGGGCACGTGCCCCCATCTAGCCCCCTTAGGTCCTCCACGGGTGACACTGTGAACTAACCCTCCTGTTCAGCAGAATATGCTGATTCCCTTAGCTCAGTAGAGTTTTTTTGAAATAACTACACATTGCAGTTACAATATGAATACCAATTACATATACATGACTATTTTCTTTCTAGTTCTGGCCTGTTCACTGCACACGATCATATCTATTTTCTTTAATTTCAGTTTCGAGCTTCAATTGGTCATATTCATCTTCTCACTGCACACAAAGCAGACTGCTGTGTAACAGCCTAAACCTTCTCTATTAATTGAAGAACCATTCCAGGTTAAAAATTTGAGTGAGCCTTTAGCAATGACTGAGGCAAAAGCAATCACTGTTAAAGATGTTGTCCACAAGCTGCAACTTTGTCTTCTGGATGGCATTCAAGATGTGAACAAACTCTTTGCTGCCGGGTTTTTGATGTCTTGTAGTGATTACAATGATGTTGTGACCGAAAGAACTATAGCAAGCATGTGTGGTTATCCACTTTGTAGCAACTCTTTGCCATCTGGTAGACCTCTCAAGGGACGTTATCGCATTTCGTTGAAGGAACATAAAGTATACGATCTTCGTGAAACCTACATGTACTGCTCAGCAAACTGCGCTGTGAATAGTCGAGCATATGCCTGTAACTTGCCAGAAGAGCGAAGTTCTACTCTTAACCCATCTAAACTTAACGATGTCTTGCGTGCTTTTGAGCAACTTGGTTTGGACTCTGAAGTGGATCTTGGAAGAAAGGGAGATTTAGGATTCTCTGAATTAAAGATTCAGGAGAGAGTAGAATTGATGGGCGGAGAAGTTTCTCTTGAAGAGTGGGCTGGTCCATCCAATGCAATTGAAGGCTATGTTCCAAAATCAGACAAGGCACAAACGAAACACCTTAAAAGAGGTACGTTACATCATGATATGAGAACTGATATATGATACCAGTATATTTTTTCACAATATTTATCCAAATATGACTATCTATTAATGGATTTGATGTTCGTCAATAGTTGAAGCGTCATGTAATGGTATTTCAATCATAGCTTGTCTAACTTCATTTTTTAGCTGATCAAGTTCAGCTTTAATTGGATTTGGCAGGATTTGGGTCCAACTCTGGTCAGCTCAATAAGAAGAAAGCTGTGAAGCCTGTGATATTTAATGACATAGACTTCACCAGTTGCATAATTACTGATGATGAGTATAGCATTTCAAAGTTACCAAGTACTTTAGCAGCAGAAAAAGAAAACAATAGCAATGAAGATGATCACATTATCACATTAGGAAATCAGGTTGGTTGTTTGCAAATTCATAATAATGATGAATCAGATCAGCATGGACTAAGGAATGGTAGGGTTTTCAAGAGTGAGAAGGATCGCATCACCGAGTTATCTACAGATCCTTCCAACAACATGGCAGGAAATACACTGGATGGTGGAAAAGATGCTGCACCTAAGACAACTACACTAAAATCTTCTCTGAAGCCTTCATGTGCAAAAAACGAAACTCATTCAGTTAGTTGGGCTGACATGAGAACTGATCTTAATGGCAGAAGCAGTCTCACTGACTCAACAACAAGAATGGAGAAGGATGAGAATTTACATCGCTTTGCATCTGCAGAAGCCTGTGCAGCAGCATTGAGTAAAGCAACTGAAGCTGTTGTGTCGGGCTGTGATGTCTCATCCGCAGGTAAGTTTTTATTGGCTCATAAGTGTGGTTGTTGGAATTTACTCCTGTAAGTTTTCGTGAAAGTAGGAGCCTACTCGGTAATGGTGGATTTGGTTGGAGTTGATGAAGTTACGTAACTGATGCTGATCTGATGAAGTTGCTGGATTAGGAAAATAGAAATTTAAATTATTGTTTATTGTTAAAGAAAGTTTATGTGAAAAAGGCAAAAATGATTATCTTCATCAAATTTGGCCCTTTCATTATGAACCAATTCAGTGTTAACATTAAATAAATTTGCGTTTGTAAAAAATCTGGTTTATAAGCTGCTAAAAGGGGCTACCAAATGGTGACTAAATTATACTAATAATGTATCTGTTGAGCCCTGACTCTTCATTTTATTACTTTTTCAAGTATCTGAAGCTGGGATTGTTATATTGCCTCCACCACATGAAAAGGGTGAAGGGGATTGTGTGGAGGATGACGAGGTGCTTGAAGCAGAAGCACATTCACAAGCATGGCCAACTAAACCAGGATTGCCAAATTATGATCTGTTTGAATCTGAAGAATCTTGCTATGACAGTCCACCAGAGGGGTTTAATTTGTCTGTAAGTTGCCTTTCAAACATTTATCCCTTGTTTGGTTGGGGAGTTTTTGATGGGAGGGAATGGGAGGGGGATATGTATCTTATTAATATTAATATATATTTACATTTAGTCATTTAGATGGTCTGAAAGAAAGCAAAGATGAAAATTATATATAAATACATGATTTGGCTGAACAAATAGTTACTTTTTACTTTGTAGTCTAATACTAACAAATAGGGATAAATTTTAAGAAGTACATATACTTCAAATTCACGTATCCGGGCCATTTCCGTATTTATGAAGAATTAGCTAATTAGTTAGTGATTCAGAAATTTTGGGGCCTGTTTACTAACAAAGATATTTTCCAGTTTTCTTTTTTGTTTTTTGTTTTAATATTCCAGTTTTTCCATCTCCAATTTTCTGATTTCATTTTTTAGTTTTTCATTTTCATATCTGAAAACACGTTTTTCATATTTTTTCACCCGGTTCTATGACCGACCAAAAGAGTAGAAGACCGAAAGTATGGTCCCAGTCCGGAACCGAACATAGTACAACCCAAATAATGTACTAGGTCCCACGTATAGAAAAGTCCGGGACCGAAATAGGCTGGTCCGGTTGATCTCAACGGTTAGTTTGACTAATTCTTTTCCCATTTCACTATTGGTTGACTCAATGACTCTTTTAAAACTCCACTTTAAACAGGTAGTCAAAGTCGAAAGGCGCACTTGAAGCGCTAGGGGCCTTCTAGCGCCAGAGGCGCAAGGCGCAATTAAAGCGCTCGCCTGACTCGGGTGAAGCGCATTACTTAGATAATATCACATATAGTATTCTATAATTACCAAATATGATGTATGTAGTATCATATTGAATCAAATGCATAAAAAACCTAGGATTCACCATAATAAAGTAATGATTCACAAAAATAAAACTCCAAATTCAGATTATGTATTATTTTTGGTGGAAGAATGACACAACTGGGCAAAAGATATGGGAGATGTCAGTATATAAACATGTAAAATTGAATCCCATGTAGGGTCAATACTTCTATTTCCATTTAATAATTGATTCAAAATTGTTAAGAATTATAAAACTTACAATTTATAAGAATCTAGTGCATAAAATCAAATTTGTATCAGGAAGTAATATTTTTTGTGTGTGATTATTCAAAGAAGACCACAACCTGGTCTGAATGTAATAAACCCACTGGGTGGTGACTAGGATGGGGCTTGCGCAAGTTATACGTTTTTACGTACTTAGACTCTTAGTTTTACGTAGGTTTTACTGGTTTGTACTAGTTTTACCCTATTATTTTCATGGGCCGAGTGTTATTAAAGATATGGGCTAATTGTTTTTGAATTTTTTAAACCCAAAAAAAGGTTGTCAGACTTTTACGGCTCAGGCGACCCAGGCGTGCGCCTCATAGCGCTTCATGCGCTTATGCTGCGCCTGACCTATTTCCCAGGCGCTGGGGGTCATGCTCGCTCCGCCTTGTGCGCTTAAGCGTTGGGGTGAACGTGAACGCTTTTGACTACCTTGACTTTAAATAATGATTTCAAAAAACCGAGACCAAACAACCGAGTCATTGAACGGCATGGACAGGTACCGCTGGGTTGTTGACGGGACCAAGTCAAGATTGCCCGGTTATCGAACGGGATGAACAGAGACCGTCAGGTCATTGGCCGAACAGTACAGAGACCGCCAGGTCGTTGACTGGGCATGACGGGGATCGCCGGGTCATTGACCGGGATGGACGGGGACCGCTAAATCATTGACCAGACCGGATAGACTGGGATTGCCCGACCGTCGACCGGACCGAACTACCGCCTAGTCGTGGATCGGACTAGACAGGACCGACGGGTCATCGACCGGACTGGACAAGAACCGGATGGACAGGGACCGCCGAGTCATGGACCGAACCGGACAGGAACCGCCGGCTTGTCGACCGGACCAAACCGGGACCGTCGGATCGTCAACCGGACCGGACCAGGACTGCTCGGCCATCGACTAGATCGGACACGGACCGTCGGGTCGTTGACCGGACTGGACTAGAACTGACACCAGAGTGGGACCGGATCCACCACTAGGCGTAAGTATGCATGTTCATTGCAGCGGCACTACAACATTCACATTTTCCAAATTTGGAAAACTAGTAAAACTCACTTCTCCGATTCATTAAGGAAAACAGAGACATATGTTAGGGGAGAGAGGCCTCCAGATTTAACAACTATGACAATGCACTTTACCTTGGAGTATCTTGCCAAGGTCTGGACCTCTAATGACTAAGTATGACCATCTGTTTATATACGGGTATAGGATACTGTAAAATTTGAACTTGGAGCATGCATGCATTAAATACTTTTGCGGGGATCCGAACATCAGCCGTTTGCTCAACTAAAATATCCAATCAGAACCTTCTCTTGGAATTGTCTTTGTCCATTCATATTCTATGACTTTTCAATTTGTAATTAATTACGTAGTAATTTAACAGCTATACTCTTACTAAACTCACCCCATGCTTCTAGAATGCACCATTTTGGCGGGAACTTGCTGAGCAAGATTTCTTTTGCTATTATATACTACCTCCATCCCACTATGTTTGAGACAAGAGGGTGTGACACAACTTTTAAGAAAAAGTGGAATTGTGTGGTTGTTATTGAATTGATAAAGTGGGAATAAAGTAAGAATGAATCGTAACCATCCAAATATTACCAAATATGGTATGGGACAAACTTAATGGGACGGACGAAAAAGGTAAAACGGGACAAGTTAGGGGGATGGAGGGAGTATTGATTAATAGATTTATGTTGGTTAACCAGTATATTCATTAACTTCGTCATAACTACTATGAAGTGATTTCTTCTTATTTGATATCTTATGCATGCTATTTGAATCATTTCAGTTATCACCTTTTGCAACAATGTTTATGGCACTATTTGCATGGATATCATCATCATCTTTGGCCTTTATATATGGGCATGGTGAAAGTGTTGCTGAAGAATATTCATTTATTAATGGACGGGAATATCCGCGCAAGATTGTATTAACAGATGGACGCTCACATGAAATCAGACAAACTCTTGCCGGTTGTCTAGCACGGGCTTTGCCAGATGTGGTTGCTGGTCTTAGGCTGCGAGTACCGATATCGACCCTAGAAAAAGGAATGGTATTGGTCTTCAAGTCTAGAAATTCTTGAATTATCGAGTGTTTATTCTTTGTTCCATTAATATATATATATATATATATATATATATAGAGAGAGAGAGAGAGAGAGAGAGAACTTATCATGTCCGAACGTTCGGACAGGAGGCACCGTCCGAACACCGCCATTCGGGGCGGTTCCCGGTGGAATTTTTTGATGAAATTTTTACGGTTTGTTCTTCATCAAGTCTAGTTTATCCACAAAAAATTTAAGCTCAAAATTCGATCGGGAATGCCTTCAAATGATTTTTTGAAGTTGACTGCGATTTTCTATGTATAATTTGGCGCAGTCAACTTCAAAAAATCATTTGAAGGTCTTCCCGATCGAATTTTGAGCTGATTTTTTTTGTGGATAAACTAGACTTGATGAAGAACATACCATAAAAATTTTATCAAAAAATTCTACCGGGAACCGCCCCGAACGGCGGTGTTCGGACGGAGGCCCTGGTCCGAACGTTCGGACCTGATCATTTGTGTGTGTATGTGTGTATATAAGTTTTCCCACCTCTGGTCCAATTCTCATTAGGCCATTGCATTATTGGTTTATATCCCCTCATTTTCCACTCCTGTTGAATGACTATTGATTTCTTACCACTTTTGGTCTTTCCAATAAACTTTCTTGCCGATTTTTATACAATTTCTATTTGATTTTGTACAGATGTACACAAAAAGCGAAATATTGATACTCAAGGATCAAAAGTGAGAATAATTTAGTACACGTGGGACCAAAAGTAGATAACTTTCTTTGCTCATGTTTCTTCTGATTCATGTCTGAGTAAGATATAGGACTCTATATGGTTATTCTGCTTTGGACTTTGAGTGCTGATATATTGTATGTACCTGCTTTTGCATATATGTCCAGGATAAATTGATTGACACAATGTCTTTTGTGGACCCGTTACCCCCATTCAGAATGAAGCAATGGCAATTGATTGTTCTTCTTTTTCTTGATGCTCTTTCTGTATATAAGATTCCTGTGCTTACTTCATTTAAGACAGGGAGGAGAATCCTGCTTCCAAAGGTACACATTTTGAAGTTGTAGTAAGCTGCTTGTTTTTCTGTTAGGGTTGTACTAGGTATATATTCGTATTTTAATTGCATTATAGCTATTCAACTGCATCTCAATGTTTCAAAATGCATCTTTATTTTCCATAGTCGTAAAAGTCAGCAGATGCGGTGACGATCTGCCCAATTTCCACAAACCGGTAGTGACAGCTTAAATAGACCCGGGGGAGTATGCTGCCATGGGAAAAACAAGATTTTTTTTCCCTCTCCTTATGTCGCCCACTAAACATGGCCAGATTTGCTTTGCTTGTGGAATAAGAATGTACAAATTTTGTGGTTGAGGTTTGTGCACAAGAAAGAAATAATAGTGACCATATATTTAATATAGTAAAGGGAAAGTGACAATTTTTTGGCTTAAAAAAGAAAGAAAATTTGCAAAAAATAGCAAGGTATAGCACATGAGCCACCTAGGTTGCCTAAGCTGTAATCACTCCCCAAGGGCCAAAGCTGTTTTTTACTTCTCCAATGTGCATAATTTTAAGGGAAATTTGGTGGGGTGGAAATAGGGATGATAACGGGGCGGGGTTTGGAGGGAAATTTGGTGGGGCCAGATCAAAAAATTGACTTTGCAATTTGTGCCCGTCTTTTCCTTTCTTTGGCATTGCACTGTTTAGTGGGGTGGAAATAGGGATGATAACGGGGCGGGGTTAAGGCGGGGGTTCGCTCCCCCATCTGGGGCCCCATGTCTAAAAAGTTCCCCCATCCACGCACCGCCCCTGCCCCTTTGTCCCCGCGGGTGTCCGTGGGATGTCCATATAGATTTTATTTATCCTAAATGCATATTCTTTGATCCATTATATATATATATATATATATATATACACACACACACACACACACACACACACATATATATATGGGAGGGTTAAAGTGAGAACACCTCATAAAATAAGAACTCCTTTTTGTGAGAACTTTTAATCACAACCTTTCATTTATTGCAATCATTGGTTATGATTCACATGGGGCCATACTCATAATTAGTAATTACCCCCAAATTCAAATGAGGCTTTTTTGCAATTAATCCTAAATATTTACAAAAATGCCACCTTGTCATTCTTTGTCATTGATGATAAAAATTAATGATGGAGATTATAAGTTCTTATTTTAAAATGAGTTCTCATTTTAAGAGGGGTTCTCATAAGAACCCTCCCCTATATATATTGACAAAAGAAGGATTTTATTAATAAAAGCATATGAAAGTACAAATGTTTATGAAAGAAAGTCGCTAATGAGAAAGAAAAGCTAAAGAAAAGCCAAAAGATAATCTAAAGAGTCTTCGATCATTTATTCTAGGCCAGCCTTGCACTTTTTCTTGGATCCCTAAAGTGATCCAGCAGTTCTGGATCCAATAATCCTGCTAGCTTGAAGCTGTGATAATCCCAAGGAAGAACCCACCATTTCGTGTTTTGACAAGTCCAAACATCTCTATTTTCAAAAGTCCGTAGTTTGTTCAAAGTCTGCTTCGCGAATTCCCTATTAAAGCCCCCTATAACATTGTTGATCGAACAAAAATTTATTTTTGGTCTATTTTTTCCTTAATGCGGGCACTCCTTCTGGGAAATGCCTGAAATCCAGTGAAAGGAATATTTGGTTCAAGAAGGCGGTCTAAGAGCTCCCGATCAGTAAGTAATCTTACTGTTGACGTGACATTAAGATCATCATCTCCTGATCCATCAGGCTGAGAAGGTGTGAGTCTGCCCTCAATTAGGGGTGCACTCTCCTCAGGTGGCAAGGAAACCTTGAGAGGTGTCTCTTCTAATATTGACTCTGATGATGACGATTCCACATCTATCCCTACAATGCATGCTTCCGGATTCAACAAATCCCTATTAGCATTCTCATATCCAATATTGAGTAAATCTTTGTGGAATAGCAAAGAAGAGATAGACGCAATGCCATCAGAAGTAGATGTCTCAGATTCAGAAGAAGAGCACACAATTGCAAAGTCTTCTAAAGAATTTATCAATAACCCCTTTGAATTTTCTTTCAAAATATCCCGCTGACTAAGTAAGGCAGAACAAAACAAACTAAATCCTCTTCCTTTCACTCCTTCCGGCACAATAATAGTAGTACTACCCCAACTTTCGAAAGCCACTAAACGAATAAAATTCCCAAAGCCGTTATTGTTGAAAGCTAGAAAGATTGAAGGAATAATACTCACCGCCGTTACTAATTAAACCAGAATCTTCTAACTGATCAAGAAGAAACCGATCATCGGCAGCCGGCCGTGATTGTTCTTCGTGGAAATGACACCGTGGGGTTAGAGAGAGAAGAGGTGATGTGATAGTGAGAGGGGCGAAAGAGAGAAGGGGGGCTATGGATGGCTCAAAAGTAATGCGTCTTTTCTTTTCCTTTCCTTAATTTACAAACTACAAACTCATCTCGTCCATTCGATGAGTTGATCTAAAGGCTCTAAACGCAAGATGGCATTTTTTGTAATAAAAGCCTGACTTTTTTAGCATGCAACTTTTTGAACTAATATGCAACTCCTATTTTATTACTGAATAAATGTAACACTTTGAACCTCAGTATGCAATACAAATAACGTAAAGATGCATCGTACAAACGTTTGCACCATAAACATAGATTGTACTTGATTCACCCCCTGTGTGTGTTCCTGTCATGACCGCTTGGCTAGAACCGCAGTCCAACCGCTCCATTTGAGATGCTTCCAGGTGGAGGTCTTTAATGAAGTTTTATGAGCACTTTCTTCATGAAAAGTAGATTATGTCCACAAAATTTCAGTTTAAAATTTTAAACGAGAAGTTTGTTAAGTAAACTATAGGAAAAAATTGCGCCAAAATATATATAAAAAATTGCGGTGTTTTTCAATAATTTATTAAAATGACTTTCCTGTTTGAATTTTAAGCTAAAAATTTGTGGAAATAATCTACACTTTATGAAGAACATGCTCACAAAATTTTATAAAAAAATTCAACTGGAAACCCCCTCAAATGGAGGCGGTCTGACCGCAGTTCCGGTGAGGCAGGCCTGACATTCATCTATATATAAAGGCGACATTGACACAAATAATCCCTACTTAACTCATTTTACAAAAATAATCCCTACTAAAAAAATTCAGACTAATAATTCCAACTAGTCAACTGTTTCACAAAAATAAATTGAGAGTTAACAGTGCTAACTTTTCCATTTTTTTTTGCCTTTGAATGTATTGAAGCAAATATATATATAGTCGTTTTCGGGAAGACAGACAAATAAATTCTTGAAACATGCTGTGCATATATACATATATGCGCAGCATGTTTCAAGAATTTATTTGCCTGTCTTCCCGATCAAAATTTGAGATGAAATTTGGTATGCATAAACTAGACTTGATGAGGAACATCCTCACAAAATTTCATAAAAAAATTCCACTAGGAAGACTCTCAAACGGGCACGTCCGCAAGGCGCTCCCTGCATGCCTGACAGGATCTCCCCCCCCCCTCTCTATATATAGACACACACACATATAAGGATTACCAATATTATATTTGTCCTTAAACTTGTTTCTATTATGAATTAAATCTAATACTCATTTTTCCCCTAAAATATAGTAGAAATATTTAAACACATAATCATCAAATCGTCTTTTATCTTTTATTTCTTATCATTTTATCACAAATTTATTTATATTCATTTTTTCATTATAATACTACATTAAATATAAATACGAAGTATTTGATAATTATTTTTAACTTTGTCAAATTTTATAAATTGATATCTCTTATAATTTGAATGGATGAAATATTGAATTATCATAGAAAAATATAGTTATGTTCATATTTGCTTTTATTTGAATATGCAAAATTTCATATATATGAATATAAACATATCTATTCTATAATAATTTAGTATCTCATCCATTCAAATTATAAGAGACACTACATATATATTTATAAAACTAAATTTAAAATAAGTATCATATACTTTGTATTGATATTTAATGTAGTATGACTAAAACCACTTTGAATTCTCTATTATAATGAATAACAAAAATGAATGTAAATTAAATATTGTTAAGGAATAAAAGATAATAGAGAATTTGATGAGTATGTGTTCAAATGTACTTTATGAAATGTATTGAATATTAAATTAAATTTATAGTACAATTAAGACTCAACTCAAATATAATAATGTTAATGGTTATATACATTTTTGCTTCATTATATTTAAAACTAACAGAAAAGTTAACACTTTTACCACTCGGTTTATTTTTGTGAAACAGTTAACTAGTTGAGATTTTATTGTAGTGAACATTTCTAGTAGGGATTATTTTTTCAAAATACGTAAAAGTAGGGATTATTGGTATCAATTTTGCCATCCCGCACCACCCCCACCACATTGCCCCCCGCGGGGTTCCCTTATAAATTTTATTTATCTTATTTGCATATTTTTCAATCCACCTTATATATATGTATATGCATATGTATGTTTGTGTGTGTATAAACTAATAGTAAGTAAAATATTAGGGTAAATGTGTGGTGTGAAGTACTGGGTTTTGTTGTTAGACTTAGCGTCCCATGACCCATGTTTACCTTAGTTTTTGACATTGCACCCCGTGATGCAAAATCAAATAAGTCAAACATTTGAGGTAAACACGAGGTTCAAGTACTAAAATTTCCTTGAACTTATGTTTACACTTGAAAGAAATGTTATTTATTTGTTTCTTAGCTTGAGGTTTTGCGTCATGCTCTGCTTTGTCACAAATAGGTACTAGATGACGCTGGTGTAAGCGGTGAAGAGTACGAGATCCTGAAGGATCACATTATACCTGTAGGCCGAGTGCCTCAATTCACTATGCAAAGTGGAACGTAATTCATTACGACAGGAATCCATCACACTCCATCTCACCCAAAGATAGTTTCTGGTGGCTATTCTAAAAGAGGAATCTTAGACATGTCTCTTGGGCTTTGGATTGAAATGTATAGACTTTTTTATATATATAGGACATTACTCTATGCTGTATACCCTATTGTTTGTACCACAATTTGGATGATGGAGAGTTTGCCTTGTGGCATGATTAAGTAGACCTTGGCGCCAAGTCATTGTGTTGCACCAAAAATTTATTCTAAAAGTATTGCTAGTTTTACACTTGCTATTTTTCTTGGTTTTAGATTATCAACGTACGAAACATTGTATCACAAGCTGTTTTGTAAGGTGAATATATATATATATATATATTTCTAAAAAGTATATGAAAAAAATTCTCCTATCCATACATCACCTAATATTAGATTACTTCTGGTTGCTAAAATATGTAATTTCACACTTTATATGGAAAAAACACTGAACACTTTCTTCTTCCAAATCCGTTTGAGACCCTTTTTCATAAGTTGAATGCCAACAATAGATCTGAATCATCTGATCATCTGAAAAATTGAGAATTCAAATCATCACTTTCTTGTTGCATTTTCTAATGGTCGAAAACCCTGGTATCTAGTAAATGCCATCAACCGTGTGAAATACGTCTTTGATTAACGTAAATGATATATTCTACTCCCTCCGTCTCTTATAATTTTGTCAAATTTGATCGGCACGCGAATTAATAAAGTAAAAACTGTGTGATTAAGGTTTGTGTAGAGAAGAGAGAATTAACTGGAATCACAAATTCATTACTTTAAAGGGAAAGTGGCAAAGTTAGTGGGACATCCAAAAATGGAAACTTAGCAAAGTTTTAAGGGACGGAGGGAATATTTTGATTTTTGACCAAGGGTTTCACTTCAGGCTATTTCCTTGTTTGTTCTTAAAGTTGTAATGCGTATTGTTATTGATTACACTCCCCCTATTTGCTTTGGTATTTTGGATCGAGTCCCAGAGATATTTGTAGTTTGTAGGATTGACGGTTTTAATAGAATTTGGATCCTCTCCAGTAACTGGATACTTCCAGTTGGAGAGAGATAGAGAGGAGGGAAATTGTGGTGGGGTATGTTGGCGAGTAAGATAGAGAAAAAGGTAAAGATAGATAGGAAGAAAAAAGAAATGGATGGAAAATGGAGAGGAAAAAATGGAGAGGAGCTGGACTCGTTTTAATATTGTCTTTTCTCTTTATGTTTGAGTTTGCCGATACCTTCTGCACGAGAAGAGAAAGGGCTCTTGAATATGATGAGTGATGACAAATTTCAAGGTGCAGAATGCGGTCTAGTTTTTAGAATGGGACTATGATTTTATGTTGGCGCTTATTGAGAGTAATACAAGGATATTGCATTCAAATAATAATGCACACAAGAGTAAATTTACGAGATTACTTTGAGAAGATCACCTATTTAGGAGCGGATGAATTTTGATCAAATAAAAAAAGGTCTTAGTGTGTAAAATAAGAATTAATATCATTCATCCAAATTGTCGACCTGATGCACGATAAGGGTTATTGTGCATCAGATTGACTATTTGTATGACTGAGATTAATTCTTATTTTACACGATAAAATTGTTTTTTTATTTGAACCATACCCTAGAATTAAAACCATACACAAATGCAGATATATGAGTGTTCTTTTTCTGTCAAATTTGGTACGAGTGAAATAGGGTGACCTAAATGACTTACCCTTAATTAATGAAACAATCCAGTTGGAGGTTTTCAAGTTCTAAAAACAACCGGTAACCGGCCACAGGGCCGGTCCCGAGAAACGGAGGCCCTGTGCAACAATAAAATCTGGGCCTTTTTTCAAGTTGCAACACAAGCAATTATCTTAAAATACAAGTTACTAATAAATGTAATGATTAAAATGAAAAAAGTCATTAATAACTTACAGTTTATTTAAAAAGAGACATTCTTCGAGCATATTTAGATGCAAAGTCATCTACCAAACTTGCAATGTCAATCTCTTCGAGTGTTTCAGATTCTATGGATATCAACGTCAATCCATTGAGTCACTCTTGTGACATAGTTGATCGCAAGTAGGACTTCAACAACTTCAACTTGGAAAAACTTCGTGTGCTCCACACCTGTTTCATGTTCTCTCAGTCTACCACTAAGATGTCCCCAATCATCAAAACACGTGTTAGCTAAAGAACCTTTGCCTACACCTTTTTTAAAAATCTTACAACAGAAGCAAAATACCCTATCAAGCTCCTTTGAATAAACAAGCCAGCTTCTATCACATTTCTCTCCATTAGGCAAACTTCTGGTGTAAAAAGCTGCTGAGAATCTTGTAGAGAATTTATCTTTAGGTCCTTCCACAAAATTTAAATCCGTTTTAGGATCATTCTCTACCAAAATGTCTGTCAACTTTGAATCTAGAGCATCCCAATTTCTTGGATCATATATGTCAAATAAACCAGAATTATTTGGCCTATCATCTAAAACATCAATTCTGTGGTCCTCTTTATCAAGATTCTCAGCCATTTCGTTAACACATTGATCAGGTATTTCAACATTATTTTCAACATTCACATCTTGTTGTTCACCCTCGTGAACATCTCTAACTTCTTTAATAATAAACTTATCAAGAGCTCCTTTTTGAGATTGGGTTAACTCGTCAAGTCTTCTTTTCCTTTGACGCTTGTCATGACCGAATTGGTATTTATATGGAAACATAATTATTACCAGTTATTTAAATTCTCCTCTAATCCTGTACATGTTTATAAATTTTAAATTAATATTCCGTTTAAAATTAGGGTGAAAACATGAATGACTATACTAGTGTATAATTATAATTTATCAACCTCAAGTTACCTAATAATATATTTATACCACTTTCTTAAATTTTAATTTCTAAACACATTTACAAAATTACACATTTATTATCAATTCAACAAACATTAAATCTGAAAATAAACAAATTACAAGAATTCAACAAACAATTCATCAATTCAATAAATCAAAAGTTCACAAGAATTAGCAAGTTAGCAACTAAATGAATAAAAGAAACTGGATGAAGTCGACTGACCGGATGTCTGGAGTCCAGACTCTGGACGACTGGACTAAGGGAGGCGGCCAGGCGGGAGCTCAAGGGTCTGTGGGAGACGGGCGGCTGGTTGACTGCAGACTGCAGTGGTGCCTGGAGGCTGGACGGCAGGCGGTGCCGCAGCGGCGTGCGGAGCTATGGTTGTGGCGGTGTGCGGTGTGCGGTTGGACTTGAGACACGGAGCTGCGGAGGTCGTGATTTGTGAATCGCCTTGGCCCTTGGGCATGGGTTGCTGAGCAGGGGCAATAGCCGAGGGGAGTTGTCGCGTGGAGCAGGGGATTTTGGGGAAGATATGTTGGATTGTTGGGCTAAAAACTAATGGGCTGGGTCTAATACTAATTTTTTTTTGCCCTTCAAAAATCCGGGCCCTGTGCGGCTGGATTGGACAAACAGGCCCAGGGCCGGCCCTAACCGGCCAAAGTATTTGCACGCAGAGTTGCATTAACCTATAAAGGTAAAAATTTCAAAATGAATTCACAGAGACTCAAGAGGAGAGACAACAATGTAATGAAGAAATCGACCTGAGTCGTGAAGAACTCAAGTGAAAATTCACAATATATGTAGAAGGATAATGGAAAGTGTGTTCTATTCATTGCACTCATACTCCCTTTAAATAGGGATAAGTCGAGGTATTACAAGGCAAAGGCACATGGGTGTATTAACACAGTACAAATAATACTCTAATGTATATTCTATCTATAATGAGAGCACACTAAGTGTAGTTTCCTTTAACACTCTCCCTTGTGCTGAGTTGTAGATAGAATGATGTTCGCCAATTTGTTTGGTAAGAACTTCGTCAAGTAACAAAAACCCTGTGGGAAAAATAACCTTGACAGTATAGAAAGATTATAACAATAAGGAAAATGTGTTTAGATTTCGTTCATCGAGTCTTTCGCTATTTGATCGTTTACTTAGATCAATGAGCATCGTTACCTCATTAAAAACCTTACCAAGTAACAAAACCCAGTGGGAAAAATAAACCTTGGTTTAAGGAAAAGAGTATAACGCAATGGTGGGTAGGTGGAAGACTCCCCCTCATGTCTATACATCCCCCTGATATTTACAATAATTAGGGTAGTTCAGAAAGCTTTCACATTCCTATGCTCTTTAAGTGTTTTTCAAAAGTGGCCTTGGGTAGTGATTTGGTAAACAAGTGTGCTACATTTTCTTCTGAGCTTATTTGATTCACTTGAATCTTGAGCAAAGCCTGTTGTTGCTGATTGTAGAAGAACTTGGGAGATATGTATTTTGTGTTATCACCCTTGATATATCCCAATTACATTTGTTCGATACAAGCTGCATTATCCTCATAAATGCAAGTAGGCTTGTCAGTAGTATATTTTAAACCACTAGTTTCTCGAATATGTGTAACGATAGCCCTTAACCATATACATTCACGAGCCGCCTCATGTAGAGTAATGATCTCTGAGTGATTCGAGGAGGTAGCCACAAGGATTTGCTTAGTTGATCTCCAGGATATTGCCGTGTTCCTGATTGTGAAAACATAGCCAGTTTGGGAACGTCCTTTGTGAGGGTCGGAGAGGTACCCATCATCAGCGAAACCTACCAAGACATCATTTGGGGTGTTCATGGGGGTGACCGTTTTGTCTTTGGTATTTTCCTTTGTGACCACAACTCCATTTGTGGTTTTCTTCGTCTCTCCATAGGGAAAGAACAGTCCCAAGTCACTGGTTCCTTTAAGATATCTAAAGATATTCTTGATACCATTCCAGTGACGCTGCGTAGGCGCAGAGCTAAATCTAGCTAACAAGTTCACTGAGAATGCTATATCGGGTCGAGTGCATTGTGCTAAGTACAGTAATGCGCCTATTGCACTTAGGTATGGAATTTCAGCTCCTAATGCCTCTTCGTCATCTTCCTTTGGACGAAATGGATCCCTTTTAGGATCTAGGCTTCGGCCCACCATGGGAGTGCTAGCAGGGTGCGCTTTATCCATGTTAAATCGCCTGAGCATCTTTTGGATATACGCAGACTGTTGGATTAATATTCCACAAACTCGATGTTCTAATTCAAGACCTAAACAAAATCGAGTTTTCCCAAGGTCTTTCATCTCAAACTCAGATTTCAAATAGCTTGTGGTTTCTCTTATTTCGTCAAGAGTGCCGATTATGTTCATGTCGTCGACATATACTGCTATGATTGCAAATCCGAAACTCGTTTTCTTTATGAATACGCATGGGCAAAGCTCATCGTTCTTGTATCCCTTCCTAATCAAGTAGTCACTTAGGCGGGTATACCACATCCGCCCAGATTGTTTTAACCCGTAAAGTGAGCGTTTCAATTTTATT